ACGTGTGTCCTATAGCAAAACCCTCTCCAAAAAAGAGAAAAAAAAGAAGAAGAAAAATGAAAGACAAAGCCCGAGCCGCTTAGAGAACCAAAGCCCTTAACACCATCCAGGGTCTTTTTTTTTTTTTTTTTTTTTTTTTGGAGAGCTTTTTGCTATAGGGCGCGTGTGCTCGCCAGAAAGAGAGACAGAAAGCGAGATAGCACCCCCAGGGGGGATGACCATGCCACAATCCCTTCTCCTCCATTCTCCTCTCGGGATCTTGGGCATGCACGCACACGAGCCTGGTGTAAGTTTAAGCCCCCGGGTCCAGGACTCGAACTGCAGTCGACTACATGGGAGTCCAGAGACATAGCCATTACACTAACTGCTGGTCCCTAAACTGATCTTTTGAAAAGAATTACGGGGTCATCTGGAAAGTCAGGATGCATTTTTGTTAGGGTTTTTGCCTTAGGGTGTGTGCACTAGCTAGAGAGGGAGGGAGACAGAGACAGTGAGAGGGAAAGTGAGAAGTCACCAATCCAGGGGGGAATGGCCGTGCTGCCATGCCTTCTCCTCCCAGGATCTTGGACACACACGCACATGTGCCCACTGAGTTTCAAGTCACCAGGTCTGGAACTTGAACCACAGTTGGCCATATGGGAGTCCCATGCAGGAGTGTAGCGACATAACCACTACATCATCTGCTGGCCCTACTATTATTATTATTATTATTATTTATAATTTGCTGTAGGGCATGCACAGTCACCCAAGAAAGAGAAAGAGAGAGAGGGAGAGGGAAAGTGAGAAAGCAAGCCACCAGATCCAGGACTCTAGTCATGGCCAGGCATGTGGGAGTCCAGCACCTCAACCTCCATGCAATCTGTTAGCCCTAACTTGGTTTTCAAATAACACCATATATATGGAATAAATGACAAAATATGAATCTAGAACCTGCTCAGTCCTCTTCAGCTTTTTTTTTTATTTCTTTAAGAGAGATTTTTGCGGGACCAGCAGTTAGCGTAATGGCTATGTTGCTGAACTCCCATGTAGTCAAACGCGGTTTGT